GGAAAAGCTGCATTATGCTCAATAAAAGAGCCCAATATTCAAGTGTGTTGATGAATATCTATGAATTTACTATATATATGTACACTTTCTAAACCTTCCAGATGTATCCCTGCCTTGAAGGAGCCTGGATGTAGTCAGATCCAATGAGGCAGAGTGTCAGACAGGCTTGATATGATACAGTGGGATTGACTGCCATATACAAAACATCTACTAGGAGACTGGGTAGTGTGAGGCAGGGTGACAGCAGATAAGATAACAGGGACTATATCTTTGACCATGCCTGAGGGGTCTCACCTTAGGGGCCTTCTGTCCACACACACACACACACTTTCAATTACACGTTTTGCTGTGGTAAGCAAATGACGCAACTAGGTCTTGTTGAGGGAGTCACCTCTGAATCTGATTACAGCGGGTTTGTAAGACACTGCAGCATCATCTTCTCTCTGCCACAGCCTCAAAAGTTGACACTGTTCCAGCATAGCAGTCTTTCAAAAAGGCGAGGCAGCAGAAAACTCCCCAATGTGCATTATGCATTATTCCTCTTCATCTCTCTCTCACACTTTCTTTATGCTGCATTAGGAGGGATGACGGGGTGAGGGAGAAAAGGTCAGGGGTAACAAACATGAGGACACGGGCGTTATCCGAATGCACAGTAGCTGCAGAAAAACACAAGCAGCTTTTACAACGCACTGAAGCTGCAGAGAGCTGTGACTCTTGGATCAGGACAACCTCTTCTCTCCGTCTGCACTGCAGTACTTACTACTTAGCCTATCACTTTACGATCTGCACAATAGCTTTCCATTCCAGGCCTATACGAGACCGTTCCAACTCGCGCTTATCTGACAGATAAGGGAAATGGCAGTCAAAATGAATCAGAAGGGAGTGGATGTATCCTTTTTCCAAGCCTTCTACAGTTGGATGAGATAATTCAGAGTAAAAACAAGGCCGCAGCAAAGTTGAGACTATTTCAGATAACATACACAGACTTTGCTATTTAAATAGTTTGTCGGCTTGTCCGTGGTATACGAGTTTACTGTATGCAAAACTCATCTTTCTAACTCATAAAGTAAACTAAAAGCCAGCAATTGAGAATGTGACAGGCACACTAATTGGCATCCTTGAAAAACGCCCACTTTGTTGGTTGTGTTGTATCTGTCATGTGCTAAAGAGTCTTTGTTGAAGCAGGAGAGCGGGTGATTGGAGGAGGCAGACTACAAAAGGTCTTTTCCAATGAAGGAACATTTCCAGGAACTGTCTTTTTGTCCACTTTTTGACCAAAGGAACTAGAGTCTAAATTTAGTTCCTGGACAAATTGTTTTAGTGTGAACAAAAGTCCATGGGACAGGGGTATAACTCCCAGAGCAGCAAGCACTGGTTTCCAGTAGTATCAATATTAGGACTACATAGGCTGGAATATCAATACATGTCTGATATTCAAACAAACCAACGTGACATGTATTCAAACATCAGGGTTGCACAGCAGTAAATTATAAAGAATAATGCAACAACTGCGATGTTATCTTGTTAAATGAGAAAATGGACTGCTTACTGTTCTCATTATAATATACCATATCCCATTGGCTCTTCAGATTTGGCAGGAGGGGAAACAAGGTGTTATTGATGTGCTTCTGCCGTGGGAAACTACAATGTTCTGCACTACGAGATACAATAAGCGCATCTACTGTAGTATCTATCTCATACTTTGTTTGTTTCTGTGAACAGCCGAATGTTGTGTCGACAAGGAATTGGATAGCTTGTTTCCTTTTGTAAAGGATGGACCAATGTATCCTAAACTAAAGGAAAGTATAAAGGAAGCATTGAAGCTCCTTTCCTATCATCTAGTATCCTAACTGCTCTTATCACCACTTAAGTACTTCCGGATCATTTTACTCAGTAAGAACCTGTCTAAGCTAAAATTGACAACTCGACCACAACCTCCAAGTCCAAGCTTTAAGAAGAAGAAGAAGATGGACCTTTATTTTTATCTTAGTTCCTGGGAATATGTAATGATAAAGGGTCACAAGCTGATTCCCTGATCACCCTGGCTTCACTTCTGAACCATAACCGCAGTGTTCCTAATAGTTAGACCGTTTCAAATGCTGTCGCTGCTTGAACAAGTGTCTTTCTGGAGTGTAGTTCGGCTTTTCACCTTGATTCCCCCGGATGGGAGTCACTCAATACTCTATGGTAGGTAAGTCAATACCTGCTCAGGTGACTCATGTGTGCTTCCTTTCAGAAACCGAGCTAATGTAAGGCTGGTATTGTAACATTAGTGTCCTGCAGTCTAACAGGGTGCATCATAGAAATCTTGTAAAATAGCGTCATTGACTCAGCAAAAAAATCTTTGTTCTGCCTTGTGATGAAATCCTGCTTGTTAACATTATGGTATATTGTTATAAGCTTTCTTAAGAAAATACAAACTATATAAAATTACTAGCTTGTTAAGTTGGGAGAGAAGTGTATTTTGACACTACTCTTTTGGGCCTATACAGTCAAATCTAAATATATTCGTATTAAAATAAAAGTCAAAACATTGCCCTTGTGAGTCCTTGGCTATCATGAGGCTGCTTATGTAACCACATCGTACTCTCCCACAAGCTACACACAAAGCCTATGGTGGCCACAGAGAAAGCTTTCTCATGTTTCTGTTGACAAATACAGCTAAATCAGGCTTTCCAGAGCATCATTTCATTTTTCCCACTACAAAGTCTAGCAACAGAGAGATTTGTTGTGGTATAATTGAGACATGCGTGTGGTCAAAGAAGGCAAAACTCAATAATGCAGGATGGGCACAAAATAGTTTATCTGCTTGGAAATCTACACAGCAAGCAACTTATGTCATGGGAAAGGAATGAGGAAGTGATTTATGCCTGCAACATTTGACGGGAAAAATAATGCAGGAACTCGCATGTTAACAGGTTTGGGTTTCTGTCACTGTATGTTGCCAGAGCATTGTATTGAATATAATCAATATTAACAAAAAGGACAACATTATATAAGCTTAAAAACCAGCAGACAGTCCAAGACTAAATGTGTCATTAGTAACTGTCGACAGTCAAAGCCTAGATTGAGAAAACCTGATAGTAAATAAGGGGTATACGAGTTATATCTTCTATGGTTCAACAGAGGGTGAGCATGCCTTATCAGGGTGCTGCCACAACACTCACAGTCAGGCGCACACACAATGTGCTCTCCACAACAAGCTGTAAAAGAGTCCCTGCAGCTCATTGTGTTCAGAAAACAGTGACCCCTTATTTACCATCCCAGCAGTAATTACGACACTACATTCTCACTACCCCCGAGCCCCTGGCATGTACCAGCGGGGTCATGGGCTATGGGTGTAATTTCTAAGACAATACCTCACATCAGACGTGGATATATAGAGGCCATTTTGTGTTTATCAGGCCAACACCAGAAGCTGTATCCCATTCAAACACAACAAAACACACACACAGATATTCTCAGGAGTCAGAAATGGGATAAAGGGGGCGGTTAACAAGGTCTCACAAATCTTGTTTGAAAGAGTTTAAGGGTGACATGTATATTAGTTTCGACAAGATGGGAGCTTGGTGATACCAAATAACCATTTGCCAGGAGCAGACTGAGGTCATGCACCAGACAGATAGGACTCTGTCTCCACAGCTAAGATGATTAATTCACTGATCAAGCTGTTTTACTGGAAGCACCGGTCGAGGCACAGACGGGTATCATTAGTAGAACCTGAGACATACTACCACACAGGATTACACTGGATTTGTCATTAGTTGTTTACATCTTTGTAAATTAAGTGTACAGTCTGTGCATCGTACAGCATGTGATTTAACATAACACAAAGATATAGAAATAACCAGAGAAGCTGAGGCAAAAACACAAAACACTGCAGTGTTAACATTCAGACAATGGCTGTTCTTTCCTCTTCAAACTAAAAAGCCTGGCAACTAATGCTAAACCGGCTTTGGTTTTTAAAAGATTAGTTTATTAAACTATTAGCCGATCAAAATAAATTAACCAGCAAATATTTCGACAACAGATTAATCATTTAAGTCGGTTACCAAGACGACATGCCGAGCATATGGTTCCAGCATCTAAAAGGTTGCTGCTTTTCTTTTTTAGATCATATATTAATATACTTTGTTGGTACAATTGAAGGATGAAAACAAAAAGCAATAACAAATGTCCTTGAACTTTAATTTATACGATTTAAAAATAAATACGATTATTTTGCTGGGTTGAACGCTTACTAGTTACAAATTCAGCCACCACTTCTTTGAACTTTGCACCCTTGCTTGCATTCCTGCATTATTAAAATAGAAAAACATCTCTCAAATTCTAATTGTTGGGAAGGTTATTTCTCTACTGTGAGCACATACAGACTGTCCGCTGTTCTCTCTCTACATACATCAAAGAAGTGCTGAGAGAAAGAGGCTTTGACTGCAGCAAGATAAATGGACCTCTGATGATGGTGATGGTGATGATGGTGATGACATGGCAGGAGTCCAGAGCTGAGGTTAGCTTAGTGCCATCCAGACTTGGCAGGTGCCCCCTGCTTGTTGTGTGTACTGAGCAGGATCATGGATGTGTATAAAACTAACAGAGCGTATAATGAATGCCTTAACGGAGTTACGTTAATGACTATGTTGTCAGGTTAATGTAAACTGTCCCGAGACAGGTTATAAAAGGTAGTTTGACGCAGGGGACTCTGGCTGGTTTACATGAAGGTAGCTTACAGTAAGAGACCGTATGCGTGGAAAGCAAATATATGACATAACCTCATACGCAGATCACACACTGCTGTCACACATGGTGAACTTCACAGCAGAAACCTGTGCTGTCAAATTCTTAACACAAAAGTCGCAGCCGCATCAATTTGCAGCGTCCATTTAAATGTCCAGGTAATTCACAATGCAGGGTAAGTGCGGTGATATCATGTCGAAAACAGCAATACAATGCGAAAGGACAACGTTGAAACTTGTAGCCAAGTAATTAAAACATGAACTCACCGGCATCATTTTAGCTTCGTACCGCATTTAGCTAACCAACACAGCATGAATCCCCAACTCGCAGTTTCGACGAAAGCTGTGGGACTGGCGATCACTTTAATCCCAGAGCCTAAAGCCGCGATGGGCAAGGCTACTTTCTCTCACTTGGGGGTCCCGTCCTGCATTCAAAACAAAGCACTTCGTTATTTCATAAGTCCAACCAAAATGCACACAATATAAAATACATGAATAGTATCCCGTGTCGAGGACCTGTTGCAACAAATAACACAAGGCCTTCCCGACAAAAGTTTCCCTTGTAGTTGTGTGAGCATCGAACTTTAAAACTGCTCGTTGCGAGAGGGAGGCAAAGCTAAAAACCCTCACCTTTTGTAACAAACTAAAGGTAAAATGTATCATAAATCTATTCAGCGATTCTTTGATTATTTTATTGTTTTTGCTTACCCAAAAACGCCAAGGTAATCAGCCCGAAACTTCGTTGACAGACAGTGTTGCTCGGCAGCTCACAGCCTATCCCAGAGTGACGTATCGGGAGGAAACCATAGGAGGAAACTCATTCCAGTTTGGAATTCAAGCTCCGCCCCCATTTGGAACAGAAAACACCCCCAACGGCTAGATCGGTACACACTGTAGCATTTACACTCGCATGAAATAAAAGTTAATTATCTACTTAATTTGTATCAAATCATTCAGTTGGACAGAAATATGTTTTAGATGCAAATTAAACTTACATTAAAAGTGAAGATCAACCTGAGTTGAAAAGGCAAGAGGTCTCACTCTGCTCGTATTTTACAAGATGAAAGTTAAAGTTTGCTTTCCTAGTTCGGTTAGCGTTAGGTTAGAACGATTTTGACTGATTCAAACTTGATGGATCAATAACTCAAACACAAAAAATTGTCAAAACACAAACCTCGTCTCTTAAACAACAATAGTAAGGTACACAAGGAGTTTCAACCTAATTTCTATCAAAACATGCCGATAGGCTTTGTCCTCCCATAGACTGTAGGGTCCTAAAGATGGAAAACTTATATCTGCAGAGTGCGCAGGGACCGCGTCTACAAAGTAAACCGCCGAAAAATGATAAAAATCAAATATTACATAGCTTCCATGTCATAAAGTAAAATTCTACTAAAATCATCATCATAAGTAAGTCACCGGATTAAGCTGAACCGCTGCAGCAGAATGGTTTGTTGATTGTATTACTGGTGGGAAACCAGTAAAAAAGTAGGAACAGGAGCGTTAATGAGCTACAGCATTGCAAGTATGAAGTATGTTATAAGTAATTTAACATAGATATATTGTAAAATAAAAATTATATTGAACAAAGCCAAAAACAAAAGATGTGATTCTTGGGTGTTTAACACTGGGCACTCCCATTTAAAACCAACGCTTTGAAAAAATACGAAAAGCGCACATAATACGCGTGTAATAATTCTGTTTTTATGAACACTTTAAAATAGTGGCGTATTGTGGCACTGTTCGCTTTGCATAAGCCAGTGCAATTGTCACAAATTCATAACAAACGTCAAAACGCTTTCTTTTTTTTCAATCAAAGCCGTGGTTATTTTCATTGCTTTCATGTTAGGGTTATGAATTAATTAATTAATAATTGTATATTTCTGCTATATCTTTGGAAAACAACTAAACTACAATACTACACAACCAAGAATTGGCAAGTGTAACAGTAAAAGACCATTGATTGATGTGTAACGTGAATTTTTGGTATCACAGAGAAGTTATTGATTTTTTTCCATAAAATATTCAAATTAATTAACATTAAAGGTAGGGTAGGTACGTTTGAGAAACCGGCTCGAGATACACTTTTTGTTATATTCCATGGAATGCTCTTAACACCCCGATAGCAATGAATATCTTAAGTGCTTTGACAAAAAATCCATAAAAAAATGTCATCTGTGGAAGCCGTAATACTGTAAAAAGTACGACCAATCATTTTAGCCGGCCCGGCTAAAATAACTGGATGGCCTACCTGCCTGTCAGCCTTCCATCGGGGCACAAACTTATCTCGTGCCCTCATTGGTCATGTGCGCGTTCGTGTGTGTTGGAGGAGGGGCTCTATAAGGAAGTGGCAGATTTTCTCCGGTTGTGTATTTTCAAATTCTAGCGATCTCGAGCCGGTTTCTCAAATTTACCTACCCTACCTTTAAGCAAATGCATTTTTTAAAATAACCAATTTGGGTATTTTAGCAAACGAGAAACCATGCATGTGTGAAGTGAATTTGGTAGCACTGAAATATCCAACAGGGGAAGTGGTTATGGTAGAACATTATGACAAGGAAATATTTTTTAGAAAGTTGTTAAGGGCAAGCTTCATCTATCAAGTGTCTTTAACCAGACGAGGGCTTTTATTTTGAAATTGCTTCCGAGAGTTTTGCCTCGCCCCTGCCTCAAAAGATAATTTCGGCCATGAGTCATGTAAAAACAGCAAAAACATCGCAGTCGCTTTTCTGCTGTGCTTACTGTTTTAAGAAAGAAATACAAATCAAACGAAGGAACATGGATTGAGTATTCCTATGATCATGATTTTTCTTAACCCTGATGGGATATCTCTTGCAGCACATAGACGATCTTTTTTCTTTATAAAAAAAACAAAAAGCATGACGGTTCCACTACAACTCCCAGAATTCTAATTCAACGGAAAGCCAACAGTTCAAACGCGCGGACATCACATTTTGTGCACGTTGGTACGTCCCTGTGTACGCAGCTCACTGTCGTGCAGGTGTTTTGCATAAGGGAGATCCTCGCTTTCTCCAGACACTACCTGAAGTCATGGCTGACCAGGTGGCCGCCATGTGCGATCAGCTTATCAAAGCTCTGAATGTGATGATGGATGCAGAAACAGGACAAGTTTACCGGCTGGAGGCCCTAAAGGTAGCATCGTTTTGGGTTGCTAGCTAGCTGCTAGCTAGCTGAGAATACCATATATTGTAGTTGGTGTGAAATTAGACTCAAGTAACTGCGTAGCTGAATAAAAAAACAATATGTTGTAATGGTCTAGTATTAACACCATTGCTAACACAGTTTGTCTACGTTCGCATATAAATAATGATGGCCAGATGTTTTGCGAGCTAGCCCCTGCATGCCATGAGTATCACCCCAGCACCATATCCAGTGAAGACATGCATTCATTCAAAGACATTGTTATTTACTGAAAGTCCTGCAGAGGGTTATTAAATACTGAGCCTGGTTTAACAAGTCCAATAAACCTTGCAGGGCTGCATCTAGCTTAAATTGCTAATTGTTTTGTTAACTTTAGGCTATTAGGTATTGAATTAAAAGTTGCTCAGGCAGCTGTTGTTGAAGCCACTTTCCTACTGACTAACTACACCAATATGGTAATATTATCGTATGTTTATACCTTATATAATTAAGTTTATCTATGGGTCTGTGTAATAACAAGCTTTTTTTTCACAACAGTTTTGCGAGGAGTTTAAAGAGACCAGCTCCTTCTGTGTCCCATGTGCCTTGCAATTGGCTGACAAAGCCCAGCCAGCTGTTGTAAGACACTTTGGTTTGCAAATCCTGGAACACGTAATCAAGTGAGTGCAACAGAGAAATCATGTTTATAACAAATAATGTCATGCTAAAAGCTAAATTAATCTTATTTTTCTTGCAGGTTCAGATGGAACAACATGCCACAACAAGAGAAGGTCCAGTTGAAGGAATGTGCCATGCACCTGTTATCAACTGTAAGTGTGACATTAATAGGCTGTTAACAACATAACTATATGTCTTTTGGTTTAAATGATCCTGAATCTTACTGTCACAGTAGTAGACACTTTATCTAACACCTGTTTTGTGTCTTATCAGGGTACTCATTCTATCCTAGAGGAGGAGAGCCACATCAAAGATGGCCTGTCAAGAATCACTGTGGAAATGATAAAGAGAGAATGGCCTCAACATTGGCCAGACATGCTGAAAGAGATGGAGGCTATCACTAGCAATGGGGTGAGTAATTAATAGCGTGTATATAGTTTGTTATTGCATATGTGTTGTTTCCTCTGCCAGCTTGCACGAAATTTGAATAACATGATGTCATAAATCGCATGCAAATAAGTGCCAGTCGAGGATTAGTCATTTTCATCTGGTGTCATCGTGTCAACTACTTGAAGATTGTAGCAAATTAAGGGTAAATGAGCAACTATGAACCTAAACAACATGTTTCCCAATTGGTTATTGTAGTAGAGCACAAAGCATATTTTTTGGCCAAAAGATGCAGCCCTTTAATGTTGTTGTTGTTATGGTCTTTTAGTGTCAAATGTAATAAATAAAGTTGAAGCTAAAATGCACTTCTGCCTTTTCATAGGAGGCTCAGACAGAGTTGGTGATGTTGATCCTGCTGAGACTGGCGGAGGATGTGATCACGTTCCAGACGTTGCCCACCCAGCGACGCAGAGACATCCAGCAGACCCTCACCCAAAACATGGAAAGCATCTTCAGCTTCATGATGGCCATTCTGCATCTTAATGTGGAGGAATACCGCAAACTGGTCAGTGGTGTCCAAACTTTTATTTTGTAGAAATAAGTAGCAATCAAAATCATGTGCCAGTGTTATGGTTTTTATGTATTGATCCATTGTTTTTCATATAGCTAAAATAAAAAAGTAGGGTAATTTATTGTTTTTCTGATCTTTTTTTTTTTGTATTTCTGTTTCCAGAAAGGGTCTCCCGAACATGAGCTGCAGGTCAGAACACCACACAGCTTCTCTGCTCTAAAAATGAACCTCTTATTAACTTGATCACTTACCTTGATTTTCCATGCACAGGCCAGGGCTCACTGCAGAGTTGCCGTGGCGACGCTGAATACACTTGCAGGCTACATCGACTGGGTGTCTCTGGTGTACATCACCTCCGGAAACTGTCATCTGCTGGAAATATTGTGTTTACTGCTGAGTGAACCGGAGCTGCAGCTGGAGGCAGCCGAGTGTCTGCTCATCGCTATCAGTCGGAAGGTGAGTCGCAGAGAAAACACAGGAATGAAAGGCCCTTAGACTGTAGCTTAAGCCATGATGCCAGCTGTAAATCCCATTTTTTTGTTCTCTCTGTTTGTCAGATAGTAGCTATTGTATGATATGTTGGAAACATCTCACCAGATTTTATGGAATTTATTGGAAAATGGAAAGATGTGATGCATATCTGTAGCAATAGGGCCACCTTGTGGTTACTTAAAAAAAAAAAAAACGACTTTGCCTCACAACGCACTCCTAGACAAACCTAGCCGTTTTTCGATTTTAGTTTTACAATAATTCTTAGTTGATTATTTATAATATATACATTATATATTGGTTAGTCCGAACAAGTTGTGTGCGCACCTATTAACTCTTAGAGATTCTTTTAAAGTCTTAAGGAAATTATTTTGATGGAATCATAAATCTATTGATCATAAATCTATCGATTAGATTTATGATTAGAAAATTATAAAAGTAGGGTAGACATGTGGAGATTACCCAGCTGAACAAAACGTGATCTGTCTCTTAAATGTGTGTCAACCACAGACCTTATTTCAAGCTATTTCCCAAAATCCTATGGAGAAATTGCATTGCATTTTTGTCGAAGGAACCGGAAGAAGTTTACTTCCGGGTTTTAGGACGCGTCACTGCGGTTCTCTATTTAAACGCCTATAAGTCATGAGTCTGACTTTGACATTTTCACCATCAGCCAATCAGTTTTTAATGTATATTGCATTGCATTTTTGTCGAAGGAACCGGAAGAAGTTTACTTCCGGGTTTTAGGACGCGTCACTGCGGTTCTCTATTTAAACGCCTATAAGTCATGAGTCTGACTTTGACATTTTCACCATCAGCCAATCAGTTTTTAATGTATATTGCATTGCATTTTTGTCGAAGGAACCGGAAGAAGTTTACTTCCGGGTTTTAGGACGCGTCACTGCGGTTCTCTATTTAAACGCCTATAAGTCATGAGTTTGACTTTGACATTTTCACCATCAGCCAATCAGTTTTTAATGTATATCACTGTGTTTATTTGCTGATGATCTAGATGCTGAATTAAAAAATACAGGAAAATAAATTAGGGGATTGTGCAGCCTTGGTGAAAGTAATGGATTTGGAATATGAAACTGCCTTATAATTTATTTTAGAACTGTAGATCAGATGAGTCATGCTACAGTATGCTCAGTTTCTACCTTGAAGTTTTACATTAAATTAACAATAACACACCATGTATTGTGTGTTTCTGCCACAGGGCAAGCTGGAGGACAGGAAGCCCTTCATGTTGCTGTTTGATGATGTGGCCATCGACTACATGCTTTCTGCAGCCCAGTGAGTACAACTTCCTCCACCATCCACCACTTTACTGGCTTCAGCCTACCATTGTCACTGTTAATCAATGGATTGTCTGGTTGCAGGTCAGCGGATGGACTGGCAATATGTATGAAATCCAATGAATCACAGTAAGTAATGTGACACAAATGCCTTCTGTGGAGCACCAAACAGATTTAAAAGAGCCATCAAAGCACATAGAAGTTTATTCAGTATTGCCCCTTTGTGAATACCTTTTTTAGAGCAGTGGATGTGGTGGAGCGGCGCTACATCTTCCTGAAGAGGCTGTGTCAGGTGCTGTGCGCTCTGGGAGGCCAGCTCTGCTCATTAGTGGTAAATGAATTTGACAACATATCAATTCCTGTGTTCACATGGCCTTTTATCCTGGCCATGAATACATTTTGTGTAACATCATATAAGCATATTTTTTACGTGTATAATGTGTTCTCTCCACAGGGTTCAGATGTAGAGGTTGAAGTACCTGCAAATCTCAGCAAGTACATCGAAGCCCTTTTAGCCTTCACTACACATCCCAGTCAGGTGAGATCACTTTTTTTCTGATGGCTTTCACTTCTAAATCCTTATGTTGTAAACTGCATTTGAATCTGTAGAATATGAATCCTTCAGCTGTGTTTGGTCTCTCTGTGTTTGATATTCTGCAGTTTCTGAAGAAAACCACCCTGCCTACCTGGGGATCTTTGTTCAGACATGAGGCTCTTTGTAAGGACGCAGTAGTTGTACAGATGGCCGCCAAATTCCTCAGAACGTCTATGACCAACCTAGTCAAGGTGAGACATGGATGTAAGCCAACCAGATGTAAACATGTTCAGGGTACCACAGGTGTCTTATATGTTAGGTATAATTCAAGGGGCCCAATATTTACTTGTCTTTCTCTTCAGGCTGGATTTCCATCTAGAGACGATAACCCAAGTTGCCAGTACTCCTGTGTGGACTTTGACAGTGACGAGGACTTCAATTTCTTTTTCAACTGTAAGCATTACAGATTTAGCTTTACCTGAGTCGTCCTTATCTGATCCCTTGATGTTTTTAACAGTGTATGTTCATGTTTAACAGCTTATCGGGCGCAGCTGGGACTGGTGGTGAGGTTTGCATGTCGCATTGTTCCTCTGGAGGCGTTCCAGATAGCAGCAGAATGGTTACACTATCAGATCAGCAGCCCTATTGATACTGGGGCTATCACATGTAAGTGTCCTTATTGTGTTCTAAATGTTCTTATCTGCACATTTGTGGCTGATTTGGATAATTTAACACGTAAAGCATACACCATTGGCTCTACTTAAACTTTACATTTATATGGATGATCATACATTCCTAAAAGCAGCTAATTAACTTGCCTTGTCTCTCTAAACCTCACTAGCTAAGACTGCCGAGGGCCTGTGCTCCTTCCTGTCTCCATCAGTGGTGCAGTGGGATGCAATGACTGTGTTCATGGAGTGTATGACCACACAGATCTTCAAAAATCTGGAGGAGGAGGTAAGAGGAATCGTTTTAAGCTACGGAACAAACCTGAGTGATACAAATAATGTGGACTATAATAATGTAAACGTTTGCCCCCCTCTCCCTCTGCCTCTTACCGTGTAGAAGTTGCCCATAGATCAGAGCATGGAGCTGCTGCAGGCCGTGCTGAACTACGACACCAAAGACCCGCTCATCTTGTCCTGTGTGCTCACCAACGTCTCTGCTCTCTTCCCGTTTGTCATACATAGACCAAACTTCCTGCCACAGGTCCTCTACAAGGTCAGCGGAGTCCTCATGGTCACTGCATACTATTGTGCATCTTCAATATATGTATTATTTTTTTATATATATAAACCGGAATATAGTAATGGCTAATATAAATATATAGTAGTTTTATGATGGTTTAATGTAGTGCTGATGGTGGTTTTCTAAGATATTTAAGTTTAGGTAGAGAAAAACTCTATTCAATATGATATTTATTACTCTTTTCAAATGTGGGGATGTCTGTGTTCTTAAATATCCTATGTACACCATTTTGCATGCTCTGTGTTGCTATGCCACCAGTTTCTACAACATTTAAAAACAAGTTTATAACAAGTATTATCATCAAGATTAACCTAACAGTACTTTATTATTTTGTCCCTACAGCTGTTTAAAGCAGTCACATTTGAGGTTGGTCAGGAAAATAAGGTGAGTTTCTTTCACAGAACCAATTAACATAACAGAACCGGTGATTTTCCTAATCCTACATGTCTAAAACCCCAAAAATAAATATCCAATTGATAACTTTAGGCACCTCGGTCCCGAGCTGTAAAGAACGTGAGACGGCACGCCTGTTCTTCAATCATCAAAATATGCCGAGACTACCCTAGGGTCCTCTTGGTGAGTGTCCAATTCACCAATTTTAAGTAAAATTGCATGACATGTATATACATTAGTTAACATGATGTATTTTCTCCTCCCCAGCCTTGTTTTGACATGTTTTACAACCACGTAAAGAAGCTGTGCTCGAGCCAAGCCACGCTCTCTCAGACGGAAAGTTCTCTAATGGAGTCTCTGGTGCTCATCAGTAACGAGTTCAAAGACTTTGAAAAGCAGAAGGCTTTTATAGACGAGCTGATGGCTTCAGTGGTTGCAGACTGGACCTCGGAGGAGATGAGGCAGTGCGTATGAATTCCTTATTTTCCCCCTCAATATGTACATGAGCTTTAAAGTCATGAAAGATAAGTATCTCTTCTTTGTGTTCCAGTGTGCTGTCGAACCCTGCCGTGTACCTGTCCTTTGTCGGGGCCGATCAGGTTGTCACTGAGCAGAATAAAGATGCAGACACATCGGGCCTTAATAGAACGCGGGTAAGTGTGTAGGTCTACTTAGTATGTGAGCTCTGAGGGTCATTTTGCAGGTGTTTGCTCATAAAGAGTACTGGGCTAATTTTAAGTATTGAGAAAGCAATGAGCCCAATAATGAAACAATTGTTTAATTCTTAATCTCTTCTTTTTTGGCCTTCTTTAGCTGAGTTTCTGCTTGTATGCCATGATGGGGGTGGTGAAGCGTGCGCGCTGGCCTGCCGACCTGGAGGAAGCCAAAGCTGGGGGCTTTGTGGGGGGCCTCACCGCCACAGGAGCTCCCATCTACAGAAACCCCTGCACTGCCCAGTTTCTGGCCTTTCTGCCCAACCTGCTGGCTCTAATCAGGTATGCCTTTTTATTTATCACAATACTTTTCTTTACTTCTTCATTCAACAAATGTCTTCACCTGGGCAGTAAGGCTTGCTCAGACCCCGTTTACACGAGGACGATACGGGTTGTATCCGCATAGTTTCTCTTGCGTATAGCCCTTTCGTTTACACGAGGCCGTAACAAAGCGATAGAAATGGACCCCGCAAACGATAACGGGTCCCAAGGTGGATAGATCTGTAAACTGAACGCTCTGGGGGGGCAAACGGCTCCGTGTGTACGCCCTATACGATCATTTTCTGATAACGATGAAATAGCCCCGCCTCCCTCTCCCCACGTCTCCCTCTCCCCACGTCTCCTGCTCAGAGATCAGCTGCTGGGCTGTCAGAAGAGGGGGAGGAAAAGAGAGGCTCCGTTTATTATTCTTATATTATTATATAGAGTCGTTATCAATTTGTTTTAAAGCTCAATAAATAACAAAGAAGACCTCTGACCGGCACTTTTCTAATTTTGTCCGGAAGATTTAAACTTTAACGGACATATTGACCGGCGAAAAAAAATGTTAACGGAAACTCTGCCGCACGGTTCCCTCGTCCCTTGGAAGAGACGTAGAGGTGGGTGTTTTTCATCTGCTGGTGGACTACCGGAGAGATTTACAGCAGGAGCACACGCCGTCCACCGTGGAGAATAAACAGAAGGGAAACCATGGCAACCATGCTCCGGGGTCTTCTTCGCTGTTTTTGGTGTATTTTGTGGCGGCAGCAGCGCCACTTACAGGCCCGGCCTATGTACTACAGCGTTTCCAGCGGGTCGACCGGTCTCGTGTGAACGGACACGTTAAATGAATCGAATGCGTGTGAACGGAAGACTTTTTTGAAAACGCATACGGTGCGTAAACGAACGCAAACGTTCCCGTGTAAATGGGGTCTAAGTCAGGCATGATGATGTAAACAGCATTTTCATAGCTGATAAAAAAGCTTTACAATGTATTTCATTTCATTTCAAACCTTTATTTAACCAGATTGTCCCTTGAGATCATAGATCTCTTTTTCAAGGGAGACCTGACCTATATGGCAGCATGTTGGAGCCCTTTTCTGATTTCAAAAGGAAAATAAAGAGGAAAGGTTTCGCATGATCAGGTGGTCTGCATAGAGCAGGGTTGCGGTCGAATACTCCAAAAAAACAGCTCCTAAGTTCTAACCCTATCGTCTATTCCTTGACCTCGGAGTGAAACGTCATGGGGTTAAGGGATAGTGGATAGGAGAATTCAAAAGGATTTAGGAGGAGAGACTGCAGTACTTTAGAGAATCCGACTGCACTTTCACTATCCGACGTGTTTATGATGCGCCAGCGGAGGTCATAAATGTGCGCCTGCTGCTGTGGGGAAACTATGGAAACTACAGTTTTCTATACAGCGGACTACAACATGGATGTTTAATAAGAACGAGGGACTACTGTAAACTCATCTAGAGACTCTGCACCGTGCTCTGATGCTGTTGTTTTATGCTTTATGAACGGGGACAACAGAGAAACATATTCTTCATGACCAAAGTTGGAATTGAAATAAAAAAGGAAAGTGAAACTTATGCTCGTCACCCTCTCCCTCCGGTCCACATTAATACAAATGATCCCAATACGTATGATTGTATGAAAAGATCTTAAAATCAATACAAATGTATTTATTATAAACGTTAGTCCTCAACATCTATCACTGTGTATATCACCATTCAAACATCTTTTTAAAAGTTGAACAAACCCCACACAGCTCAGTAAAGACTGTGAAATGTTGACTTTATTTGATCATTTCAGTAAAAACTAACGTTCATATTTCTCTTTTTGATTATAATACTGATGAACGTTCAAAACAAAGCACTTTGGCAACTTAGCACATACGTTTTGAACCGTAACTTTCATGATATCATTTCTCGTTCATAATCGATTGTTTCCGTGAACGGCCGACTGTTGTGTGACGGCAAATGCCGCGGCCGCAAGGCATTGTGGGGCAGCATTTTCTCCTCTCCTTTTGGTTAGGGAGGTCCAGTGGTTCCTAAGCTAAAGGAGGTTATAAAGGAAGTTTGAAACCTCCTTTCCTTTTAATTTAGAGAATTCGAACGGCACTTATCATGGCTGCCACTGAGGGACTTCCGGGACATTTCACTCCGTTAGGAAGGTTCCTAAGCTAAATGGACTATTCGACCGCAACCCTGGTGTGTCAAACTCAAATACACAGTGGGCCAAAATAAAAAAATGGGTACTAGTCGAGGGCCGGACTGGTTCAATGTTTATTGCAAAACTTATTGAAATGAACTTATTGCACATATTAAACCTGGAACTAACAAAGCTTAAATTATGGCCTATAAAAACAACATTAAACATTAAATAATCAGTTGCATTCATTTCTTATGGCTCTATCTGTAGATTTTCTGGAGTCATTTCTTATGATTACATTTTTCCACAGGCCAACAACCGCTTCAAAAAAACTATTTCCCTCAAAGAAAAACCAAACATGCCCTGTTGTCGCAAGAAAAAAAGTGCAGAAGGAAACATCCGTTGAAACTCAGTGTGCTGCTCTGTGATGCTAGTTCAAGCCAGATACTTGGCATCTCATCTTGGGTGCAAGTTCATCAATGTTTGGGCTCAGGCTCTGAGCTGAGGAGACCCTCAGGATTGAGTGAAGGTGTGCGTGCAATATACCGGCGGGCCAGATCTAATAGTAATTAAAAATTATCCTGCGGGCCGAAATTAAATCCACCACGGGCCTGATTTGGCCCCCGGGCCTTGAGTTTGACACATGTGGCTTAGAGCATTGCACGTTGATTTGATTGGCAGCTGAGAGGCAGTGCAAATTTAAAAAAAGGCAGTTACTTTATTTAATTACAATTACATTAAATGTGTGATAAAATGAGGTCAGTGGTTTACCCTCCGTGTTTGCTTATTAGTTTGTCTAGCAGTGTCCCAATAATACCTCCTGCTATTATACTGATCTGTGACCAGTCTCTTTGCTCTATTCCTCATTGAAGGACCCAAAACAGTCTGTTCACTCCGGAGAACATGGCTCGTCTGAGTGAGACCTTCTCCAGGGCCCATGATGTGATGGACGCAGAGAAAAAAGTGGTTCTTGGTAAGATGGGCTTCCAGAACATTTCTTATTTCTCTCCCCATGAGTAAGCCATCATCTTCATAGATTTTGTCTAAACCTTCTATATATGTCCTCTCTCCAGGTCTCTCTCAGAACCTTCTGGACATTTATGACACTGCTGTGTATAGAAGCAACCTGGAGCGAATGCAGGGATTCTTGTCCACGTTGTATGACAACTGGTGAGAAAGATCCCCAAACGTTTGGTTTTGTTTCAACAGATTAAATGTTACTTTATCTTACGCTCTCTTTACCTCTGTAGCTTCCATGTCCTGGGAAGCGCAGGTGTGTCCCTGCAGCAGGATTTCTACACCATTGAGAGGCTGAGTGAAGAAATAGCTGGCTCTGCTTTTTCGTCCCTGGACCATGTGCCGGACCACAGACTTCGCCCTATGATTCATATCCTTGCTTTGGTTTTATTTCAAAATCCAATATTATCACTGCTTTCTACATGAACTAAGATGAGTTGTTGCTTTATGTTGACATGGTATTTCCTTAATAACTTTACGGGTGTTTCTGAGGCAGTTGGTGCTATCGTGTCCTCAGGAGTACTACAACAGTCTACTGTGCCCCCTGCTGGGACCTTTGTTTGCCTACATGCAGCAGGTCAGATCTCCACATCTCCCATTCTGTAACATTTATCATTCATTTGACTATATTATATATTTAATACACTCACTGTTGTTTAGGTTGCTAAATCTCATGGTTTTGTTTCCATTTCATACTACAGAGACTCAATGTCAAGTGGCAGGTCATCAGCCAGAGGACCTCTGTCAAGTAAGTACAATCCAGGGCCACAGAATACTTGCAGTACATTTAGCTAACGATACTCGCATACATTTCCTTAAATACAATCTTTATTTAATCGTTTTCTGTGTTTGTAGTGGTGAGGATGAGGAGGTGGTGGTGTGTCAGGAGAGCCATGTGACGCAGGAGATGTTGGAGGAGCAGCTGGTCCGCCTGATCACCAGGGAGGTGCTGGATCTTCTCTGTAAGTTTCAGAATGTCTTGTGTTCAAAAGAAATGAAAGTGAATTCTATGTTAATGTTGCTATTAACTGATTATTTTTTAATTAAACTGGAGTTAAGGAATGCACCATAAAAAGCAGTGTATTAACTAGCATTGCAATGAACGGGCCACTTGTGCACTTGGTGGTAGAGGTATTGATTAAAAAATAAAATATCTCTTGCAAAAGGATATTTTATTATAATGACGGTGCACTTGTTTTATGATAGTAATATAATGTCCCTGACTTAACCCTTTTCTTTTTTTAAGCCAAGCACACGGTGAAAATCATGGCTTGTAACTGCTAATGCACTTTTAATCATGTGGGCAATTTGTGTATGTGCCAGATGTGCAAACTAAAAACACATCAGCAAAGTGCAAATATGAGCCATAATTCCTGGATAGAGCTGAAAGTCTACATGTTGACTGTCTTTTGCCTTGATAATTAAATAACTGACCCCCACTGTGAACTCGAAAAAAGGGTGATGTTTGGGGATGCATATTCAGAAGGTGCTAAAAATATATTATGTGTTTTATAATTCAGCATATAGCAGCAACTGCCTGATCAGCCATTACTCTTAATATTGTAAGCAGAGGAGTTGAGTTATTGTGCGGCCATAACATTTCTGTTCTTTCTTCTCTTGTAGCTGTGAGCTGCATATCTAAAAAAGGACATGAACCAGCAGCAGATAAAGAGGAAATAGATGGTAAGATAACACTTTAAATACAGTTGTATTTTGTTTTTATTATATATGTATTCATAAGATTTTATTTGGATTTCTCACAATGAACACTTCCAAACAAATACTCACAATGACAAGATGGCATGACTGATGACTCTTGTGTGTCTAATTTATATAATAATTGACATAGTCGAGTACTATTCCTGCCTATTGTCAAATCACAATTAGTTGTATTTAACTGTCTCTTAATGTTATCTTATTAGTATTCTGATCGCCATGATACTGCTATGATTGTCCAAATCATTTGGATAGTGCATAGTCTATCATGTTGCATTTTTTATAGGCTGATATTTATACCAAAATACGCGACATATCATGCTTTATTTGGAGAAACAATTCTATGCAAAATCAGACTTTCAGCACACCCATAATGCACGAGTCTAAGGTTTCCTAACCACATTTTCCAAGTCTTTTGGGACACCTCTAGTCTTACTTCAAATGACCAACGTTTTACCATGATATCTGTTTCAACAGTTACTTTTAACTTATTTTTAAATGTTTGTATTATTATTTGTATTTGTATTGTATTTTATCTTTATTTCTTACCTTGTTTGAATCCTGTTTTTCACCCTGACCCTGTGGCTGCCTGAATTAAATAAAGTTCCATCTTATCTTAATACTTTTCTTGAACTGTTCTCTCACAGAGGAAGAGATGATGATGGATTCGGCGCAGACGGCGTCTCCTGCCCAGCCCACAGAGGAGCTGAGTGAGCTGGGAAAACACCTGTTGAAACACGAGGTCAGCCTGAGACGCATAACACTCCAGTAACAGCATATTTATTACTGAAATGCTGCAGATAGGCTCAATGTCTCTGTTTTTCTCATCCAGAACATCTACATGAGCATGTTGACCCTCGCCTTTACCTCCCTGTCGTGGAAGGACACCACCAACTGTCACCGCACTGCTTCCATGGTCTGCTGGACACTTCTGCGCCAGGTAGCAACAAACGTACAATATAAAAGCTAGCCTTATAGTATTTTATTAGTGTGCACAAATCTCATAAAATACAATGGAAGTCTAAGGCTGAAACGACCATGGCTTTTTAAACACAGGAAGTACTTTCTGACACCTTTCTGACCATTTAATGCACAATTTCATGTTTACCGGGTCGGGCTATTTTGAGTTTCTGTTGATATTCACTCATTGCCTGTGACTTAAAGGTGGCTGTTAAATGTACCTTTTCATTTTCACATATTTCTAAAATGTTCCTCTCAAATCCGCTCTCTGTCCCTTCAGGCTATCGGGGGTAATCTTCTTCCTGAAGCAGTCACATGGTTTTATACCAGTGTCCTTAGGGCCCTTCAGGTTCACGGGCAACATGAAGTCTGCAACTCTACCCTCTCTCAGCTGGCTATGCTCATCTATGAAAACCTGGTGAGGCTAAAAGCAATAACCTCTGCCATATCTGCTCTTTTATGTTGACCTTGTTTGTTTAACCGTTATTGCCCAGCCCATTATTTTTCGTATTTGTTTTTACTATAAGATGATTAAAGTGATGTCTTGAAATGCACGTTTTATCTAACTTGCAGTAAAAAACGTTAAAACTGTTCAGTTGACTGTCATAAATGGAAGAAGCATGAACCATCAAAAATCCGCACAAGCTGTGACCACGTACATTCATTCACACACACACAGCCTCCAAAAACTTGACCTCCATGCCAAATGTTAGCCTCCCAGTGAGAAATATTGGATATTTCCGTTGCCAAAAATAACATCAAACAATGAATCGGTTATCAAATGAGCCTCTGATTCATTGGCAGTCAAATTACTAATTGGTTCTGCTGTGAAGTCACAAAGTACTTATTATATCAGTAATATATAGAAGTTTTATCTGTGGGTCTTTATAGTTGATTCCTCAGAATGCATTACTAATCATCTCCTTACCTGTCTGTTTATCTGCTATAGCGAGCTCGCTATCCAGAGCTAAGAGTAGTGATGACCCAGATCCCAAACATCAGTGTGGAGGCTCTGGACCAGTATGACCACCGGCTCTTGGACCCTAATGCCCAGAAGGTTGGAGACAAGAAGAGGAAAGACCACTTCAGGAAGCTCATCGAAGGAACCGTTGGGGTAATGCCACATTTAGCCACTAGAGAGCAGTGCTTCTCTGTTATATCCCACTGTAGACTGCTCATCAGAAGTGACCAGACACCCTGGCCTCAGAGTGCAAGTCATTACTCGGCAGTGTGTGATTCTGGCTGTGCAGTAAATCTTCTGTGCTCGGCAGAAAGAAAATGTGCAGCAGCTCAACAGGGCTGTACAATGTAATGAAATTATTTCTGGTAGATCTCCTATAGCTCTGTTTTAACCCCTCCTCTCTTTGTCTCTCGTCAACAGAAAGCTCTGTGCCAGCAGTTCAGGAAGGAGGTTCATATCCGGAATCTTCCATCGCTCTATAAAAGCCCGAAGCCGGACAAGGATGTAGTGCAGAACAGTGAAGCAACAGGCCTGGAAGCTCTCTTCGCCCCAGAGAAGAATACCCTGTAGGAACACAGAGTGCTTCTAATGGACTTCATACTGACTGCAGAGAGTTATGTGTACAAACCGGGGTCTCCGTCACCATCCTCCAGCTGGGGAAGTGCGGCTCTCCCTGACATGACTGTCAACACCGCTGTTTCTCAATAGGTCATCTTTATTTTTACCATCGATGTACCACAGCACCACTCATAAAATCTTCCCACCAGTCATTTGTACAAGCAAGTATAACACAGCAGATCCATTTTTAAATCCGATTGCACATTACGTCTTGATTCCTTTACTCTTAGCAATTAATGAGGTGTGGAAGAAGTAGTAGTGAAGACTTCAGATTAAAGTATGTTTCTTCGTCGTATTGTGGGAAGAGACAATCTGAAAATAGCTACCAACCATTATTTTATATTCTTCAGCAGAAGCTTAATTGAGCCACAAAACTATTTTCTAACAGGATGATTCAGCCGTTTGTAGGCGCCATTATTTGCTCATTGACCAGCATCATTCACACTAATCATGTCAGATTTATGGGACAATGGTATCAAACGGCGAGTTCAGCTGTGGTTTGACATTCATTATAGAAATTGGCGTCTAATGATACCTAAAAAGGTAAAGAAAGTATAGCCAATAGCAACAGGAGTAGCCTGTTAGGAAGGATTGTGTGTGTGTGTGTGTGTGAGTGTGTGTGTGTAAACCTTTTTTTGTGTAAAAAAATATATATTTTACAGATTTGTTGTGCAACCACGCTGCTGCTGCTGCGGTCAAGGCCGGTCCAGAAGAAGAAATGTTTTGGACAAATCCTGGTTCTAATTTCTGAAAGAATGCAAAAATGTACCTCATGTACACCGTGCCCTTAGATGGGGTGAAGATGCATCATGGAAACATACCCTAAGAAAATAAAGCAACTGGATATTGTAGATATGATTATGAACAGCAATGTTTTAGTGTGCAGATATTACAAAGCAGTTGTTTTAGCACGTCTAATACTACAAATAATGAAGCCAAATGTTGTGCCAAAACACTCATGCTAGACCTGATGACCAACGTGACCATACAATCATTTCCGAGAAACAAAACTACTACATATATAGTTTTCACAAAGATTGTTTATGAATAAACTTAACAACTAATGTGTAGCTTAATCCAAGTCTTTAATTTTTCTTTTTTTATGTTTTTTTGTATTTGTGCATTTGCCATTATTCAGAGTGCTAAACATTAAAAAATGAAAATGAAAATGGTGAACCAGACATACATTCCTCCATTTTCAAGAGATTGTTTTTTAATCATGATTTGGTGGATATATCTTACTCTTATAGATCTGCTATGCTAGATATGATGAGTACTGTGTTGGGAAGATTGGTCTGAAATTCTAGATTACATTTGACTGAAAACGGGTTCACATCCTACTTGCCCTGTAAAAGAAACATTTGTGAAGCTTGGATATCCAATGAACCGATTTACCTGTCTTTGTGATGATTGTTCACCTTCGGCCATTTAAAAAAAAAAGAACTTACTTACACTAACTTGTTCTGTTCAAAGGAGAAAATCGTTTTTTTTTATTTGGTGTGGTTTATACTTTGTTTTATTTTTAAATAAATGAATCAATATTGATCTTGATTTAATTTTGTCTAAATATTTTTTTATTTCGAATTATGAGAAATGTTACATTAGACTTGCTCAGTTGCTACAGATGGACAAGGTTCAAGGTTCTTTATTTAGAACCTTGAACCTTGATATCTGGGTCTTAATATGTGTTTTGTTTTGCACGGCCCAACATCTAAATAGTAGTGAAGTGGTCATAGTTGTCTTTACCTTTACAGGACCTTCATTTCATGTTTTAACTGTTATATTATAAGGGATATTTCATTAGTGAACGAGGAAGTCTTCTGAAAGCATAATAGTAAAAGCAGTTCACATTCCATTCCGGAAGGAATTCTGCTATTACCGACCACCGTCAAATATTGTAAAGAAGCGCAATGAAGAAGAACTGTGTTGTCTACTGGTATTTTATTGTAGTAAAAATATATTTAGCTAATTATAAATATTCACAGTAAACATGCACTCTCTTACATCTTGAAGTGTTGAACCAACATCCTCAGTTTAAAGTTTAAATGTTGGTTAGAAAAGTTAGCTGTAGGGCCTTGCAGCAAAGAACAGAGTCATTAAATAAACAGCTAACGTTAAGCCACATTTGTAATTGGATAGCATACTGCAATTTCCCCCCAAAACAAAACTATAATATTACTCCACTACAGTTAAGAAATTAATATTGTAAATTCAGCATTGATTTTTTATTGATTTTTACACAACATTTGTTTCACATCTTCATGTGTCAAATGAAGAATCAGATTGTTTTATGTAGGCCTACTTTTAAGGACTAAACTATCCAAATGTTTATAAAGTAGGTAAAATAAGCTTCACCTCCAGCTGTTGCAACATTAAAATGCTACACACAAGAAATTGCATTTAAATAATTGATATATAGATATATATATTCCTAAATAATTGCTCTTACTGATTTCAATTTACGGTTAGCAATCCTGACATGAGTTTGCTTTCAAGTTATCAAAAATATTTGTTTACAAACCCACAATCATTCTTATGACAATATTTGCATATGTGCATTGAAAGAGTTACGAGCGGCTGTAATTGAGAGCTGAATCAATCAGGTCATACATAGTCCTTTACATGTGCAGACTTCTTCCACAAACATGATAACCACCTCATTGTTTAAGGCATTTATCAAGCACATACTGTATGCCAAACATGATTCTTTTTAAGGATATGCTGCTTTTCTTTAAAAAGTAAACTGCATTTCTTTAATCTATTGAATGAACAAATGAATGCAACTTTGTCTTTGTGCTAATTGGAATTGTTGAGTGTTTAAACAATTTTTTAAACAATTTTTACTATAAAATAGGTAAATAAAGGAAATCGTGTATCTGTAAAAAGAAAAATGTTGAAGCACTATGGTAATTATTTCTTCTGTCTAAACTGGCAGTGCAGAGAGACATTTCTAGTGCATAAAACAAACAAAACCTTGCACCCACCTTCAGTATGCCTTCTCCCACCCACGCTACACAGATATCAGGATTGTGATTGATTTATGCTACAACAAACGGATGCCTTTGTATTTTTTCTTTTTCTTTTTCTAGGCAAAAAATATCCAAATAACGAACTCTGATAATGCTTCTTAATAATCCTCATCTCCCCAATGTCTTCAAGGGCCCATTGTCTATCCCGCAGTACTTTGCTCCTCCTGCTTTTCCCCTCACTGCTTCCTCTCTGCAAGATTCTCCCATCAGTGTGACTCGTCAAACTTAAGCTCCAGACATTTCTCAACATTTGTCCTCAACAGACACACGACCCAAAAGTTAGATGATGACATTTACAGCCCAGAAAAGGACTGCTCTGATCAAGATGTCTAATTTGCAAAAAGAGAGAAAAATAATTCACTGCCTTTAAGAAGAAACTGTGACTTTTCTTAATGTCGTTCATTCAAAGTTTTGTTATAAAGGAAGTATTTGATATCAGATATAAATAAAGAGTTTAAAGCAAAGAACAATAATGAAGCACAATACATGATCTTATAACTGACATAATGTTGCCATGCAAAGTCAAAAGCCATTGTAACCCTTCTAAGGGACAACATGGGTAAGAAATTACCCGTATTGACTTACAATGTTATTTCATGCATGGCTGACTGTTTCTTAGCTATATTTTTGGAAATCTATTTATTTAATCATTTAATATTCCAAGTATTCATTTAATATCTTGTTTTTGATCACCAAACATCATTATTTTCATTCTACATTTCTTAATTTAGGAAATAAAACAGTTTTTGTATTTCTACATCAGGTTTGCGTACATGGGTCAAAAATGACCCATGTACGCAAGTGTGATAAAAATGATAAAAAAAAGCATACTATAATAATAATTATGTTAGGACTGATTTGGACCAAACAGTACATGTGGCTGGGTGGTGTGTGCATTTAGTCTTTTTAGCCCACATCTTTCCATTCCCCCTGTAATGTGCTTTTGGAGGTGGGGCGTGCTCTCCATGCGTCTCTTTATTCATAGACAAAAGCATTGGGCCACATACACATTACACCTACACAACCTTCTATGACATGCCTTTCCAAATTATCATGCATTAATATGAAGTTGGTCCCCCTTTGCAGCTATAACAGCTTCCATTCTTCTGGGAAGGCTTTCTACAAGATTTTGGAGTGTGTTTGTGGGAACTTTTGCCCATTCATCCAGAAGAGCATTTGTGAGGTCAGACACTGATGTTGGACGAGAGGGTCGGGCTCGCAATCTCCGTTCTAGTTCATCCCAAAGGTGTTCAATGGGGCTGAGGTCAGGGCTCTGTGCGGGCCAGTCAAGTTATTCCACACCAAACTCACCCAACCATGCCTTTATGGACCTTGCTTTGTGGGGCACAGTCATGCTGGAACAGAAAAGGGCCTTCCCCAAACTGTTTCCACAAAGTTGGAAGCATAGAATTGTCCAAAATGACTTGGTAAGATGAAGCATTAAAATTCCCCCTCACTGGAACTAAGGGGCCTAGGCCAACCCCAGAAAAACAACCCCATAGCATTATCCCTCCTCCACCAAACTTTACAGTTGGCACAACGCAGTCAGGCAGGTAACGTTCTCCTGGCATTTACCAAACCCAGACTCGTCCATCAGAGGACAGATGGAGAAGCGTGATGGTCACTCCACGGAACACGTTTCCACTGCTCCAGAGTCCAGAGTCCAGTGGTGCTCCACCCAACGCTTGGCATTGTGCTTGGTGATGTGAGGCTTGATGCAGCTGCTCGGCCATGAAAACCCATGAAGCTCCCACAGTTTTGGTGCTGATATTAATATATATATATATATATATATATATATATATATATATATATATATATATATATATATATATATTAATGCCAGAGCTGTTTGGAACTCTGCAGTTATTGAGTCAGCAGAGCTTTGGCCATTTTTACGCACTATGCCCCTCAGCCTGTGCCACCTCCTTGTTCTCCGCTTGCATGTGTAGGTGCGAACCATCTGATCCATTGTGTCCACTCCTGATTTGCTTTTGTTATAGTACTGGATCACTTCTGGTTTCTTTTTTACAATGTTGTCATCCACTGCTCTGTCATCATGCATGGTGCTCAGGAGGACAACAGCCTTCCCCTTCTTTTGCACATAGCTCACCATGGTCATGTTGCCACTGAATCCAGATTCTTATTCTATGCTTCTCCCTCAATTTGGATGGCCTCATGACAGGCGGTATGTCCGTCTTGTTCTGGCGAAGGGTCCCCACAATGGTCAGGCTCTTCTCAAGGAGCTTTTCAGCCAGAGGGATACTGGTGAAGACGTTTTCCATTGTGATGTTGCGATATATAATAATCGTATACTAGCAGCATTTGGCCAGTTCCTCCTGTTTAATTGGACATATTCTAGACATGAACTCTCTTCCTCACTAGTAATGGATGACAAGGTAATGTTCAAATATGATGTACAGTTATCTTTCACAAGATATCAAATATCTCCTTAAGTAAAAGAAGTGTAAAATAAGACTTACATGAATCAGTCGTGCAAAAGCAGCCTGTTGAGTTGTGACAAGTTTGGCATGTGAAAAGTTGTCCATGGTAAACATGTTCCTAACAGCAATCGTTTACAAATAAAAGCTTTCTATCAAATTCCATAGTGAATACATGTTTGGTCCAAATCACTGCTAAAATAATAATTATTACAGTATGTATTTTTTTCATTTTTATCACACTTGCATAAATGGGTCATTTTTTACCCATGAAACCTGATGTAGAAATACAAAAACTCCTCTAGTTCCTAAATTAAGAAATGTAGAATGAAAATAATGATGTGTGGTGATCAAAAACAAGATATTAAATGAATACTTGGAATATTAAATGATTAAATAAATTGATTTCCAAAAATATAACTAAGAAACACTCACCAGTGCATAAAATAACATTGTAGGTCAATACGGGTCATTTTTTTACCCATGTTGTCCCTTAGAAGGGTAGTGATACAAAAATGATTATTATTCAAAAATTAAGAAAGGAAAAATGAAAGTAAGAAGTTGTGATGATCATAAACAAGTTAATTGGGGAATTTTGAATTGTTAATGTAATTCGTTGCAAAGATATTTACAATTAAAACTCACTCGGGTCACTTTTGACCCATGTTGTATAACAAAGGGTTAAAGTCTTGCCAAGCATTTAAAGGATTGTTTTCTGGACTAGTATGTGACCTTGTTGCTTGAGGTAGTTCTATATTTAGAAAGTTAACGTGGCTGTTTTACTGACTGAAGCAGGTCTTTCTTCACAACCTTTCTGTATTTTGCTGCATTTATTTGACCCTTTACCTTCTCATTCAATAATGTGTCTCGATGAGATTATGCCTGCCACATACGTAGGCTATGCCTTGTCACATAGACTCCAGAAAGCCCTGCTCAAGTTTGATTTACAGCAGTGCAATATCATAAGGATATTTCAAGGGATATTCAATGTTTTGGGGATTTGTATCATTCCCCAGACTGATTTTCAGTAGCCTTGTTATGTAATGGTTTGGAATATTAATTGACTTCATAATGTAGTTTTTGCAGGGAAATGTATCCAGCTGCTAGACTGTGAGTTATTGATTATTTTATATCATACTATTATTATTTAGGTTGCCAGATAGAGTTAATTGTAGACCGAAATGTTGCTCTATTTCTCTTAAAATAATAACTGTTTCTCCCAACATTTTAAATGTATATTTATTTCCCACGACAATTAACATAGTTGCTTGTTTTTCACCAGCAGCTTCAGCTTCACGGCACCTTAGCAACGCGGTTGCCTCGCCACACAGACGTTTCTGGTCGGAGTATTTTCATTTCGGACCCTCAATCAACACACATGGGAAACAGGTGTGTGTTTCTAGTATCTTTTTTATAACCGGGTCTGAACGCGAACTCCGCGACTCAGAAGCGGCAAACTGAGCTCTTATCAGCTACTACAACGCAAGTTGTTGGGTTCAGGATGTTTGTGTGTTTTGTTATTTTCGTTTGTGCTTTATCCGGTCCTCTTGTAACCGCACACCATGTGATGACCGGTCAGCCTCATGAAGTCCCGGTAAACAGAACCGACGTTTTAACGGCAGCTCGGTTTGCTGTGCTTGAATTCAACAGAGCCAACGCAGCAGAAGAGTTTAATTACGCTATTGTGAACATAACATCGGCCAAAATCCAGGTAAAACTTCATTCATTGTGTCATGGTCAATGTTCATTAAATGTCATAAATATTTTGCCGGTAATGACTCCTGCTGTGTCCTGTAGGTGGTCGCAGGGATAAACTACATCCTGGATATGCATCTGGGACGTACGTTGTGCAAGAGAAACGACACTGCAGACCGTACACCATGTGTTATCCACTCTGACTCCAAGGCAAGTTTTACATTGAAAGTGGTGCATACTCAGAAAAAAACTGACCCAAAAGCCTCAGAAAAAGTAAAAAAATGTGCTCCCTATTTTTCTGCCCCAGTACAATTTTCATTGTGGAAGTTAGTAAAATAATCCACTTGTTTTTTAACATTTTTTTCAGGAACTTCTGTGCCACTTCATTGTTACAGATATTCCTTGGGAATATTCACGTGTACTTACTCGACAGAAGTGTCACCGACCTAATTGACTGATTTATGATTGCTGCTGGTGGTGTTGCCTAGTAAAAAGATTTCACTGAAATGTGTTTTGGTGTGTTTCATAAAAGATTATTAATACATTGTCCACAGCCTGTATTTTTGTTTGTAAACCAATGATTTGATTGGCTCTGAAATTTACCACTTGGTCTAACACTGAGTTGAATAAGTTCAGTGACCTGCACTCACTCAATGCATTGTATAGGGCAAACAAATTGCATAATTATTCCAGTGAGTGACCAGGGCAGCTTTACTGTGCCTCATCTCTCAGTGTGTGTCCTGGCAGCTGTAAGGCTCTGGTTGCGTGTCAAGCTTGGTCAGACACATGGCTGCTAAACGGCGATGAGGCTACACCTCTCCTAACTGCTACACAGTCTCCAGAAGGGCTCTGCATGGAGGATTACAGGCATTTTCAGATTACTGCTCAGCAAGACTGAACTGTCTGCTGCTCTGACCCCTTTTTTTTAACAGGGTGAAAAAGCTCACTGATGTACAGATAAACACACAACACAGGGGGAAATTGTGTCTAATGTATGAGAATTTGTGAGTGGGTGTAGTTTGTTTGGGGCAACACTGGCATATATTGCTCTAGCATGGTTTGCTCTAGTACCCCTTTTTTATTTTTCCATTTTTGTGTAACTCTCACAAGAGCTGAATTGGGGGGTAAAAAGGATTAGTGACTGTTAAAATGCATCTAAAAGTAAACATTGCTAATTGTGTGGGGGCCAAAGGGGCAGCGTCTGTTTGGTTTTGATTACAGTAAACAGCCGCATGGATAAGCGGTTCACACATACACACACCCCCTCTCACCCAGCCTATAATATCTCTTCAACGTCGATGTCTTAATCTAACTGAGCAAAACATAAATAATTGGCTGGCACTGTGGATTAGGTAGCAGGGGTTAGGAATATGGGGGAAGGGGATACTCCTTAACGTAGGATGACTTACATCCAAGCTCTGGTGCCAGGAGTTTGCCCTGTCCATCTGCCACTCTACCCACCCACTGACACACTAACAGGTGCGTGCACGCAACTACATGTGTGTTTTTTGTGCACGCGCTTGTATACCCCACCCTGCACTCTGGCCCTACCCCTGTCCTCACTTAGCCTAGGCAGCAGATGGTGAGGGGCAAGGCTTGTAGCCCCCCTCCCAACTCCAAGCCACCAGCCCATCACTCCCCTATTTTTTTCCCCCCACGAACACCACCCCACCCCTCTTTGTGTTGTTGAAGAGCCTGAGTGTTGAAAGGCGAGCCCCAGCTTTTCTTCCCCCCTCCACAAATCCTTGGCTGGCTGCCATTGGCGGGACTCAGTCAGGTGTCCTAATGCTTCAGTTAGGGGAGGAAACGCTGGTTAATCTGCCCATCGCGTGCCACCGGCCATGGCCCTGGCCTCTTTGTGTCTGGCACCCCTCTGATCATCCCCTCCACCCCTTCATCTGTCTTTCCCCCTACTCTTCCAACCCAGTTTCTCTACTCCAAGACAGTGTCATCCTTTCTTAAAGATCATCCCCCTCTTCCTCTTGGGATGTTTTGTAAATACATTCTTTATTAGACACTTCAGTTGTTTTGAAAGTTGTAGTACATTAGGTTGCTGGAGCGGATAATTGTATTATCTCATTAGTCATTTAACCCTTCTCTATTTAGTGCTGACTCATTGGACATCCAGTAGGCCTCTACCTGGAAATGCACATAAATAGAAACTTTTTTTATAGTAAATCATTGTGAAATAATGTATTCTACCAAAGTTTCTCCCAAAGGAATACTTAAGTTAACTAGAAAATGCATTTCCTGCAGAAAATGCGTGCGAATGCTGTAAACTGTAAACAAATGCTTGTTGCTGAAAATGCAGCAAAAGCTGAATATTTTATTAGCTGAATGGTCTCTGTAGCTGCTTTTAGCTACAAAAACCAAGTAAGTGTGTTGCTGAACTTAGCGGAGAAATGCAGAAAAGTGAAATGATTTAAATCAAACTTGTTACAGCTCAAATGCATTGCAATGACTTTGTTGAAAACTTGAAAGTGAAATGTTGAACTGGAAGAGTAGGAAAAATAGTGAAGAAGCTTAATATTTCAAAGAAAAGGTTTAAAAAAGGTATAAACAATAAAATGTATAGCCTCAATGTCCTGAAATAGCCGAATAATTTAATAGTTGAATGGTTTATAGCTGAAAGTAGGCTTAAGGAGTTAGATATTAAATGTAAGTAGTAGTGAATGAATGTATATTAAGAAGAGAAAAGAAAGTAAAAAGGCTTTGAAAAGCAGCAGAATATTTTAACTGCAAACTTTTGAACTAACTTGATGGCGAGTGATCTGTCACCATAGCAACGGAATTTGATTAAACCCCATAATACGCTTAGATGTGTTGATGGCTGCATCGTTCCCAAACCTGTGAAGTTTTGGGCCGTTTTCAGCATGTTTCATTGAAGTTATGAGAAAACCGTGTTTCATGGTTAGCATTGTGTTGCCATGGCAACGGCATTTGAAGAAATCTCAAAACTGTCCCATAGATGTCTTCACGGCTGGACTGTTAGCACACATGTGAAGTTTGAGCACTTTTTGTCAATTTTCATTGGAGTTATAGCAATATGGACCGGTGATATACAAGCGAAGTTTGGGGGAGGATCGGACCATGTCCATTGGAGTTACAGCAACATCGTGTTTTATGGCGAGGGATGCGTATCCATGGAAACGGCATATGATGACACCCCATAATTGACGTAGAGCTGTTGAGGGCATCACCATTAACCATTATCTGAAGTCTGCTGCTCGGAGCATGTCAGTTGGAGTTATGACATCATCGTGTTCCATGACACAGGTGTTTATATTTGAGCTAACGACGACAGCTGTGTGTGTGTCCAGAGATCAAAGGTTTCCATGGTGATGTGCAGTAATCAGTCAGAGGAGAGTCTTTCTATTGTTCTGAATGAGAGATAAGCCTCTTGCATTTCTAACTTTTGTTGAAAAAAAAATAATACAAACCTCCAGTCTGTCTGTGGGCGTGTCTGCTCTGATTAGATGATGTCACTCAGGTGTGTGGGCCCAATCTGCCCAGCAACACCATGGTTACCAACTGCAGCACTGAGAGACAGACAGACAGACGTAAACAGGTATTTTGATAACGTCGTCACCATGGTAACCTTTGATCTCTGGGCTTACACACACAGGTGTTTGTAAACATTCCTTCACTACTACTTACATGTAATATCTTTATTTAACTCCCTCAGCCTACTTTCAGCTGCAGAAACCATTCAAATATCAAACTATTCAGCCTTTTCAGCACATGATGGGAAACTTTCAACTTTTTCAAAATATGTTAAACTTTTTAAAATATTCAGCTTTTTAAAGTCTTTTTTTAACATGGAAGTCATTGCAATGCATTTGAGCTGTAACAATTTGATTCAAATCATTTCACTTTTCTGGATTTCTCCGCTAAGTTCAGCAACACACATACTTGGTTTTTGTAGCTAAAAGCAGCTACCATTCAGCTAATAACATATTCAGCTTTTTCTGCATTTTCAGCTAAATTCAGCCACAAATGTTCACAGTTTACAGCATTCGCACGCATTTTCTGCAGGAAATGCATTTTCTAGTTATTATTATTATTTCAACCATACTTTGGCTCTCCATAACTTCAGCTTACTTTCAGCTACAGAAACCATTCAAATATTAAACTATTCAGCCTTTTCAGGAATCGATGGGAAACCTTCAACTTTTTGAAATATTCAGCTTTTTAAACTCTTTTTTTAACATGGAAGTCAATGGGAGGAGCCTTCAAATCCTCTTTAACTACACCTTACGCCAAATGCTTCTCCTTCCACATACTTTCAGCTAGGGACTTCATTCCAACTTTAAAATGGTTCAGCTATAACACTTGTTCTTCAGATTTTTCATATCTTTTACGGTTTTTGACTTATCAACGTTTAAGTTTTGGTACAATTTCAGGCTGTTTTCGATTTTATAATGGTTGTCTATGGGAGGGACTCTTCAGGGCTAGAGTGTGTGACATCATCACTTAGAGTGCAGAGAGTCTTACAAATCTTCGGAAAAAATATTTTAAAACTGCTCTCAGAGCCAAAATATACACTCTATTCAAATAATTTCAAAAGATTTCAGGAGCATTATTAGTCTGGCCTGCTCAATTGCCTTCATCATATCAAACGGACCCACCGTTCTGGCCCAATAGTGATCTGAGTAACAAAAAGTCCACCTAGCTTCAAATAGACTCCCATGTTAAATTTGACCGGGCCTTTGTTCAGAACAGAGAGAAGTCCACTTTAGACAAACTGCTCCCGTCTTCACATTTGACACACAAAACCCCCCAAAAAACCATATATCAGTTCATTGGGGTTCCCTGATGCTCACTTTCTGGTCATTTATTTATAGGAGCCATAGTTTTTGAACAGGTGGCAAAATTGTCAGATATAATCCTCAATGCATTCTTAATGGCACTAAACAGCATTCGCACTAATAAGGGGAAGAATAAAGATTCGAAGAACTATAGTGGAATGCTGTAGCACAGCATTCGCACTAACTAACAAAGTTGCTACCAATAAAGTTGAGGGTTTAATATATCAAATAACTATAAGAATAGACCGCAACATATTTATATTCTTCAAATGTTTTAATCCTTCATATCTTAACTTGATCATCTTTTCTTATTTCAGTGTTGCGTATATTGCTCTTGCACTTTCATGCATCATCACATAGGTGAAAGTCTATCTCATTATGCAGACGAGCATCACCGCGAACCCCTGGAAGGTGCACCGCTCTGATTAGGATGAATGATGCTAAGATACGATGTGGTTGCGTAACCAGAGGGGTCATTACCATTTGACCCCTGCTGACCTTTATTTTGATTGACCCTGGGTTTGGTCATCGCTTCAGAGCACAGGCAGAGGTACAAGGTCAGAGTTCAAAGTATCCTCAGCTGCTGTCATGGAAACAGCAGTGTTTGCTCTTCTGATGGTCACTTTTAATCTTAAGACAATGGTTAATTTAAAACCATATTTTACATTTGCAGTTTATTATCCCACCTTTTGAAAGGTTTGGTGTTTACACCTTTAAAACTCAAACAACAGGTTTTTTTTT